GGGATTTCACGTATTTTGTATGGACGAGCTTAAGTATTCAGATTACAATTAAGATTCTATAAGTTTTCGAATTTGCACGCTATAATATAATGTAATAATTGATATGTTAATCGATACATTAATATTATATCTGCTGAAGTCGACTGTGCAAAAAAGAGAAAAGAATAAGAGAAAAGATTATCAGTGAGGTCTTGAATAAGGCTCACTAATCACGTCCTCGGTATCGTCGTCTGCGAAAAAAAATCGATTTACGTACTGTCTTTATCATTAATGTTTAATTATGGTGAATGCACACGTCCAACTGCGGTACCAAAAATATCGCGTTTCAAACATCAATTATGCTCAGAAAATGAACTCACAAGTGCTCTGCATTTCGATATTTTTTTATGACTCAAGAAGAGTAAAAATCTTTTTCTCTTTATATAAATTATACTGGAAATATTAATAATTCTTGGCGTAATTATATATATTATATAATAAGTTAAACAGTATTATTGAATTAATATTACTGAAATTTTCTGATTTATTAATATGAAAAAAATATAATTCTATATTACATTTTGTCAGCTAATTTTTGCACTAAGAAAAATATTTTGATTAAATCAATAAAACGTATCAAGAATAGGATTAAAGAAAATTTCTGTTAACCAGGTAATTTTTGATAATCAGAAATTCTGTTTGATCTCACCAAATTCTCATTTTTTTATTGATCTAATCAAAATATTTTTTTTTAATGTGTAAGATAGCGATATAAAGTTGTACTTATCAGCTAATTACACAAATTTCCGAAAATTTGAATAACCGGATTGCCACGATTTCAAGTTTTCATCTGTAAGTACAGTCCCGTTGCATTAATAAACTTCGAAGTCTTTCGACTTAAATTTCTTGCAGCTGTCGTAATTTTGTTGCACGACCGGCTCAGAAAGAAGTTTGCACAACACACTTTCTCCGCCCCGCTGAAAAATTATTTGTTATCTCGAAACTGACATGTGGCGTCAGTGTAATTATTACCTATCACATAATTAACACTTGACTAATCACGAGTCCAATGAAGGCCATTTTCGTCCATTTAATTGGATCAATAATTAATAATCAGTGAATTTCCGAAAAAAAATTGTCCAAACTCTATTTTATTAAGTATTGTAAATAATATGTATAGTATTGACGCGCAATACGATCGATTTCGTATGCAGCTTGACTTACGACTTTGCAAGTGAAACTTACCTGGAAGAAGATAAGAACGATTCGTCAGTTGTTAGCTATTAGTCAGTTAATGTTAAAACGAGTAGGCGTCTGGCTTTTGCTATGTCGCGATGATTTGTTTCGATTCGGTTACGTAATATAACTAGGAAACAACAAAACTTCCATATATGTGTGTATGTGTGTGTGTGTGTGTGTGTGTATGCAGAAAATAATATAAATAATTCAATAAATAAATATGTACTTCTATATGTGAACATCTCCAAATAATTCAAAGATCAAATTAATAAATAATTTTTGTTACAAAACCAACTCCAGGAGGTATTCGTCGGATATTTTGAAAGATCAGGATGAGTAAATAATGGGATAATCCTGAAATACTCGTCTCTAGCGATTGCAATATCGTCCGGCGAAATCGGATTTCGTGTATCGACTTCTTTAAAATGCAGAGCACGTGGACTGCACTCGTGTTCCGAATGCAGTCCGCAACATGCATGTATTATTATTGTCGAACGATGTACGAGTATACATATATCAGGGCGTTGAAAAAAATGTCTCACATGTGCACGCATATTTACGTACATGCACAGACGTTGCACTTTGTAGTTTCACCTGTTCTATCGGGATACAACAATACAGCAGACTTCGTGTACAGGATCTTATACAATGTGCCTGTTAAGGAAAATGCGAGTACTTTCTCGCGAATGTGACTTATGCCCGTTTCTACGAATGTAGATTAACTTTAATCTCGGTTTAACTTAAACTTTTTATTTGTTTCTAATTTTAAGAATTGGATAAAAATAAAAAGTCAGCTAAACCGAGATGAAAATTAATCTATGTTAATAGAAACGTCAGATAATTTTTATGAATGTTTTATAAATAGTATATACTCGTATACGTAAGAGATTTTCTCAGCTTGCTGCGCGATCTTCTACAAATATCTTGAAGTATAACAAAATATCTTTCTATTTTTTAAAAAATTGCAAAAGATTTTTAAAGCGGAATTCCAATCAAAGCATCATCAAGGTCGGGAACAAGATATCTTGAGGTCATAGGTTGGCGCGCGAGTTAACTTGGAAACTCCGCTCGTACAATCGGAGATGCGGTTCAATATCGACAAGATTGTCGGCTTTACGTCACGGCTTAGTCGGTTTTTTATATCTGATAATTTCTATGTAATCATTCGAACATCTAAAATTCTAAGAGGCACATTAATATTCATAGTGTGCGTGAACTAGATAAATCGATAATAATTCATAAGGGAAATTTATCGATCAGAAAAGCTAACAGATTTTTACATATAAATCATCTGTGAAATAACAGCTGCGAAGATTGTCACGAAAATTCTTATTTCAGAAAAATTGTCTCTCTGTTAAGTAATCGCAAAATAATTTTGCATTTGAATGGAAATCTAAAATCGTTTTTATAAATTATAAATTGTATATACTTGATGTAATAATTCTGAACAATTTCAGTTTAAGGATCTCTTTCTGCACGTTGCTAATTTGCAACGAAATGAAAAATTGTGTTCAAGTTTATATTATAAATATTCTCTTACTCTGAATTTTTGAAAATATCTTCCTGAAATGTCTTCCTGAGAATTGTTCCTGAGAATGTCTCGATGAGACATTTTTGCATTATAGAATTTAGATAACGTGATTATATAGCAAATTTCAAAAAAAAAAGGATAATTTCGAAGTACGAATTTGTCACTATTACGATGACGTTAACAATACAATGTTATATGCTTTAGGACTAGGTGAGGCTAGACTAACCCATCCTTCGCATTGTGCGTTCGCAAACGCGATTCTAATCTATTGTGCTCGATAACAATATCGCGGACGAGTATCGTTATTTTCAACAAGCGTGCAGTCAAAGGTAATATCGGTCATTAATTTGTGAACATAAATCGACAAAGTTTTAACTTGGAAAAATTGAAACTTTGAAAAAATAATTTGCAATAAATGAACTTTATATGAATATTGATATATTCATATATAATATTCGTTTTATGAATATTGATTCACATCAAACAAATTACATGTTCTTCATATAGAAAAAGTTATGCGTTAGAAAAGGATATTAAAAAATCGTAAAAAAGTAAAATTGTCCGTCATTAAAATTTTGCACGTGCTATGCTAAATATCTTTCTATAAAAATATGTTTCTCACGTATATTTCAATAGTAAATTATAATAAAAACTTTTAGATTAAAATATGGAAATTTGCATTTAATGACATATGAAATATAATCTTCATTTATTTAACAAGATTAAAGAACTTTTATTATCAAGTAACGATGTAATTAATTTTTACTATATTCATGGAAAAAATGGACAATTCTTTTAGTATCCAAATTGCTGATTATTGAGTAAATATTAGATACTATTACGCTAAAAAAATTAATGTTTAACAAATACTTTTTTCAAATATTCGTTAAAGTGCACGGCAAACATTTTGCTATTTTAAAATAGACGGCAAACATTTTGCTATTTTATCTTTTCTGCCGAGTATAAATATCTGATTCGTTTGTGCAAGTAAATTTGTTATGCTTGCCTTTTAAAATAATAATGGATATGAGAACTGAATATATAAAATAGGATAGGAATAGAACACAGTTCGTTCTAATTCGACGTTGGTACGACTTGAGAGTATATGCAAATAAACAATAATAGTTTCTCCATGGAAATTTTCTACTTGTATGATAAAAGGAGAGAGAGAGAGAGAGAGAGAGAGAGAGAGAGAGAGAGAGAGAGAAGAGAGAAGAGAGATGAATAGATGAGAAAAAGAGAGAAGGAAAAAAACGTGAACGCGAGCAGGAGCGAACTGAGGACGTGGGAGGATGCAAATACGAAGAGCCTTGAGTCGAATCCGCTGTAACTAGGATAGGTGCATAGATGAATTCACACGTTTACGTACATGGAGACGGATGATTCATTCACGCTCCATGTTCGATTAATCCGACCCGCCTAGTTAACAGATATGTTTCGCGATAAACGATGCAGGTAAAAGACGCTTCTCAACGACATTCGCAGTGACAGTCATTACAATGACTATACTTTGTTGTATCATGCGTCATTTTAGCTAGAAATTAAAAGTAGCTAAGCACTCGGATATATATATAGTTTTACTTCAATTTCATTATTGAGCAATAATTTTTTCAATCGTAAATCTTTTATATGTTGCGTCATATATTATTTGAAAAAGTTAAAAGTACTTGAGAACAACACGAGTATATACTTTTATTTCAATTTTATCATCAAGCATATCGTTTTCTTAAATCGTAAATTTCTTTCTGCACATCTCTCTTCCGTTTGTCGTAAAATCTTTTATTAAAAAAAAGAAAAGATTTAAAACTTGGAAATCGATCTTTTTTTCAATTATATATTGTTATTCATACGCTTCTTTTGGCACGAAATTTTCTATTTATATATTGCAGATGACAAACACACACGTGAATTCCGCGTTGAGCGTTAATACGTTGATCATCGTGCAGTAGTCACAGATTGAATGTAGGCTGGCTAACATAAGCAACAGGTGGGCGTTTCTATCTGAACGACGACTTCTCCCTCTCCTACGCCGCTACTTCTGTAGCCGATTTTTCCGTGTGTGATACACCGTGACATTACACAGCTTGATTCATAATCATTGTGCTATGAAAAAAACCATCTTTAATTTCCACTCACGCGGTTAGCGAAATAAAATCTCTCGCTGTGCGTGAAATGTGACATTCGATGAATTTTTATCGATCTAAGCTTTCGTATTTCAAGAGAGATCGGCGTATCTGTCTACAGTTCCTACCGTTCATGTAAACATGATGCTGCCTCCACAAGTGCTGGTACTGGGACCACCTGGAACTCGTGCTGTCGTCGTGGATGGACGGTAGCGGCGGGTGTACCTGGTGGCCGTGGGAGGTCGGCGGCAGGGGTGGCGGCGGTGGTTGCTGGGACTGCGGCTGCTGATGAGCCGGCGCGACTACGATGTGCGGATGCTGCGGCGGCTGCACCGGCTGCTGATGCTGGGGCTGAGGCTGAGGATGGTGCGCCTGGGTGTGAAGCACCCCAGCTGGTACCGGCGGTGGCGCCAATTGCTGATACTCCATAGCGCAGCTCATCCGATTATCTCACGCGCGCATTTAATTATTCTCGCGGTATCTCACGCGGTATCCCCCCGTCCCTCCCCCGCCTCCCGGCAATGTCCAACGTGGTTGAAGA